AACAAAACAGTAAAAGTATAATCATAATAAAAAAACCTATAAAAAGTATATAAGAGAAATTCGTAGGTATATATAAAAGAGTTACTCATTTTTATGAGTTGATTATCTTATTGTTAAAAGCAAAATAAAGGCAATTTTTGCATATAACTCTGAATTTGAATGGTTGTGTTTTTATTCCAGATATCTATCCAGATATTATTAATTTTCTAATGAAAAAAAATCTTACCGCTACGTAAGTAAACCAAGACGGAGAAGCAAAGTGTGTTTTAACTAAAGATCAATAAAACACTTATTAATCTTGTCGCTGTTTTAATCAATGACGTTTTCATTGATTTAATTTAAAGTAGAAAATTCTACAAATTCTTATATACCACAGAAACACAATTTTCCCCCTGGTTTCCGATAATTTTATATTTTTTGCGTTCACCGTGTCCGCGCGTATAATTTAAGAGCTCGAGACGTAATCGATACGCGCGTAAATAACGCGGAGTGTAATTTGTCATCGCGCCGATCATCGTTTCGGAATGATCGGAGAGTCGGGTGTCTAAGAAGTCTGATTTAAAGTCTGAAAATTAAATTCCGTGGCCGCGGCGACGAACTTTTTGCAAGCGACTGCTGCAGCTACCACTGCAGTTACTGCTTCTGCTGCTGGGTGCGCATTGGATCTGCACGTATATATATATATATATATATATATATTCGTGCACAGTTACGCCAAAATGCGCAAGAAAATATAAACGTTCATCATTGGAGCGGAACGGAAACCCGTGGCGGATATACTCCCTCCCGCCCTCCACGGATTCTGCTGAGTGAGAGGTGGATGGAGAAAGGGGTAGAGTTGCTTAAATCTGCGGAGTTGGGACAGGACTTACCGCCAAGACGCGGCTCGCAAATGGCGTTCAAATTAATTTCAACAAAGTTCGTAAATTATTAATACCCGCCGTGGGGCCGGCGGTGGCGGCTGCTGACTCGGTTGTTCCCGGCTAAATGTGCTGTTTAATTAGGAAATCCGCGATTGTGGTAAGACGGCGGGATTGTCAACCCCGGGAGGTTTTACGTTACGTTACGCGATGGAGAACGGATGGGAGGAAGAGGGAGAAAAGTGGAACGCTGTGAAGGCTTTTCGCCCGTCGTGACCACTTGGCTATATACAAGGGCGGCTTGCGGATATATCTCGCAGTAGCGCCAGTGAAACGAGCTTAAAACTATTCCGACAACGCCGTGCAACGCGCATATCACGTGCACGTATACATATATATCTACGTATGTGTGTGTATTGCGCAATTACTCGACGCGACGTGGAAGTTTCTAAAATAACACGGTGAAATCGTCACCGTAGGGGAAGCGGTTCTAAAACTTCTTTTTTCGCGGCTGTAAAGCGACAACGTGAAATTGCGCCGCTTCGTATTTAGAGCGTTAATCGCTGTCGGACATTAACGTTTCCATGCATTATTAGCGCGCGGAGCGATTGCTAGACCGCGGCGCTCGTACTAGACACACGTTACACACTCGTACTAAAGTCGCGAGACGGAAATGCAAGCGATAACATTCCCTCTCTCGAACCCCGTTTCACATCGTTTCACATGCATAATATATGGCGGTTTATATAAGCAACGATCGCGCTATTCTAAAAACTGTCGATTGCCAATCTCGCCGGAACGGGCCGCGTCTGACAGCGAGCAATATTCGCGCGAGTATAGAGAAATTGATCGCCGTAAGTGAATTCGTTTCCCAAACGGAAGACGTACTTGGTGACTGTAAGAATTTTGAGAGGACGACTCATGAATGCAAATTAAAATGCTTGCCGCATCTCCTCTTCCTCTCTCATTTTTGTCCGATGTTATTTGACTCCCTTTATAAACGATATTCAAAAGATTACATCAATAATGCTCGAAGAGAAATTGCGATAAATTATGCAGATGCTGGATGAATCATAATTTTCGCATCCTTCGGGCCGATGATATTATCCACGAATTAATTAATTGAAGGAAAATTGCGCGAATTACGCATATAATTAACCCACGTAACGCCGACTTTTCACGAGGGATTAATGCATTTTTAATCGAATATCGTTAAACACACGTGGTCAACACGGCTCGGTCCCGTCGCATACTACTATTTTCACGACGTTAAATGCCCGCAAAATCGTATAACGTCTGCTTGCTGCCTTCTTTTTTGCGGCGCGCACATTTTCCTAAGTTTTCCGCGCGAGAGTATATACGACGCAACGCAATGCTCAACAATAAGAAAGCTTAAAGGGCGGCCATTATGGCACAGCATAATGCGCATTTTCAGTCCCGACATTTCCAATAATATGCCGTTGGAGTGAAAATTATGCATTGACGAAACGACCAAGAAACACGACAGAGGAAATTAATGGGCGGACGCAATTTCTCTATCTAAGATTAAATATATATATATATATATATATATATCGCTCGGCTAAGGATATAATATATAGAGAAATGGAGGAAATATGTGAAATTTCGACACAGACTATATTCTCGAGAAAATGCTTCGCGTTTCTCTTCAAACATTCATGCCGATACGTATTTCCTTAACACACGCCGAACACATTACTATAGGCATACTGTAGTCTCGGGGCGGAAATGGAGCTAAAAACGACTCTGTAAGAGGAAAGAAAGAGAGAGAGAAACGGATCAAAAGGGACGAACTTGAGCACAGTGCACCAGAACGATATTTCCAATATTCTCGTAACGACGCAGAGTTCGAGATAAGTACGCTTCTGATACAAACACTCATGCAACATTCATGACTGACGACGACAACGACGACGACGCATTGATACCTTGCGCCTTTCCAGTTTTCAGTTCATCCAGATTTCCCCGTTGTATCAATGCCGCCTTTCTCTCTCGAGCGCAACCATTAAAAGCGCCGCACCGGAACTGATACAAATATACTTTTCTTTTTACAATTTACAGAGAGGCACCAAATATATACAGGATGTATCTAAATAAGTGCGAGAAATTTTAGATGATTCTTTGTCAAAAATTAAAAGGAGTTACTTATATAAAATACTCTTATATCTCTCCCTGAGGAGTTACACTTTTCTAAAGAAGGAGGTAAAAATTAAGTTTTTATTTTTTTTCTCAGACAAATTAAAAAATTGAAATTTGGTGGATATTTTCCACTAATAAAAGGGATATTTATTAATATTTAAAAAAATAAAAACTTAATTTTTTATCTTCCTCTTTAGAAAAATTTTGCAATTCTTCAGGGAGGGATATAATAATATGTGTTTATATAAGAAACCTCCCTTAATTTTCGACAAAGAATCATCTCCTAAAATGTTTCGCGCTTATATATGTGTGTCCATCTATGTGTAAATATATATGAGAGAGAGAGAGAGAGAGAGAGAGAGAGAGAGAGAGAGAGAAAAGAGAATCCACGTTGTACGCGAAGGTCGTTAAGGTAGTTGGCAGGCCGAGATATTGCGTTACTTTTTCCAAACTCGATAAAAGCTATTGTCGACGGCGGCTTTGAAACCGGTGAGATTGCAGCAACGATGACTGCGGCCAAATGACAGTTTTATCGAATTTCTTCGCGTCTCACAGACACGAAAACGCGTCTCGGACCGCATGTTACACGGGCGAACGATGAATTATGAGAGAGAGAGACAGATTTCGTATTCGACCATGCATTATTGCGTCCCTAAACTGGGTTTTCGAACCTCCCGATTACACGCATCGTATAGCAATATTAATTACCGGCCAGTCAACCTGGACCAAGTCAACGATAAATTAACACTGTCGATACGCGATGATCCGTTCATTTATTTAGGAAGATAAATCCTGATTATTATCGCGATCTGCATACGATGACACGAACGTGTTCAACGATTTGTCATCATTACATTATATTTTTCGTTTCATCATGATTTATCGGACATTGGCAGGCATACGTATATTTAATTATGTAATTTTAATTTCTTTTAAAAGGAGTCGACTCAAAATTTAACTGTACCGTGGAACTGTTTATTGTACGCAGGAATAAATATACGGTGCTGCATTTAATTGGGAGAAAGAGAGAAAAGAGAGCTCTCATAGGAAAATATATTCACAAGGAGATATACAAGTACCCACATTCGTAAAACGCCAAGGGTTACCTAATGACGGCGTTTCTTCAGAAGATTCATCTTGCGAAGCGTACCTCAGCGATTCTGGCGTTAAATTACGGAAAGATTAATAACTGTCGGGAAGATTAAAGCGTAGAGACTCTCGAGAAACGAAACGCGCCACAATCGCGGTGCCGTTATACGCGGGGTTAAGATATATTTATCACATTAAATAATTTCGTACCTCGAGCGCGCTCTTATCCTCGCGAGACTCGTTTAATCTTAAAGCTGCGCGGATTCATAAAGACGACGATCTGTAAAAAAGAGTACGACGAAAAGACTATACATACAATTATTCGTATCAATTTCCATTTATTTTTGGATACGTGATAATAGAAAAACGGTTCCGAAATTTATTCGTCGCATCTCTAACAAGCGAAATGTTTCCCTTTGTTACCGTATCTTCCATGCCTTCAAGAGCGAAATTCAAAAAATGTTTCATACGTCCTGATTCGAGAGAAAGAGGATATATTTCATTTCCACTAATATAACTGTAATAATAAGTATGTACCACATAATTATTATCGTGTTTTTGCAGGCTTTGCGCGATTTTCACGCAACACAGCCGAAGCTCGTTTGTACATTGTAGCGAACCACCGATGCGCAAGGCACTTGTAATTAAAACGCGGAATATTCATAATTTAATTCGTACAGCGTATCTTTCGACGCAGAAAAAAAGAGGAAAAAAGGAACGAGCGCGCCGCGACGAAAGAAAGCTGTCGTGTAATTTAATTAGCCCCTTCTTTCCCTCCCTTTGGCGCGCCGACGCCGCGCGTCAATTAATTACTTTCGTTACATTCGTCCTTTTTTTTGTTCGTCGACTGTTGTCGCTCGTTAAGTCACCGCGCGTCTTTCTTTGTTACAGCATCGCTGTGCGACATGGTTTACAACAGCGATTCGACGAAAACGGGGATAGTCATGTCGCCTGGATATCCGAACCCGTATCCGGCCAGGACGCACTGTACATACGACTTCCAAGGAAGAGGAAAGGAACGGGTGCAGGTGACATTTCAGGATCTGAATCTGTTTCACTCGCCGAACGGTGCGAATGAGTAAGTTCATTATATACTTTTCGACTAATTTTGTATATGAGCGCAGACGCGAACACACACGGATAATTTTCAAGTGTCTCCAGTGAATCGGAATAAACGAGTAAAATTCTATCTCCGTTCCTCGCGAAAGACACGGGGGTTGTACGATCAATTCATATTGTGTCACGATTTACAAAAGTACGATGACGTGTTTTTACGAGGGTGCATTCAACGTCGTTGCGTTTAGTAACGGTGCACTCTCGCGATTCATATCATCGTGTCTAGTACCTCTTATGTTAGTCCATTCTTACGACACAAAAGGCGCGGTACATTATGTATTTGTGCCCGTAACGGATGTCATCTGCCTTTATCTTCGAAGTGCCCCGAGTCGGGGATTACGATAAGTGCAATCTCAAAATTTCACGAGACGTCGCGTACTCGTATACTTTATCTTATAATTCTATATCGAAAACGGATGCTACGGAAAGCAACGGAGAAACCCAAGTCTCAATTTAACGATTAATAAAATCGTCGCTTTGGGAATTTGTTTTAATGACATATCGACGCATCTCTCTTGCGTTTCTCCTCTTTCATTCATCGAAATTCATAGATCGCTTCATCGACGATAGAAGATTTATTTAATCCGTGCAAAAAAAGATCGGATCTCTTCAAAATCTGATTAATCTCTCGAGAGCACCTTGACATAATTTCAAAGTGGAGGACACATTGTAAACGTAGAAATTGAATAGAGGAACTGCGTCGCCACAGCCGAAAAGGCAAATCAGCCACGGGAAATCCCGGGGAAACCGTCTCTGATACAATGCTTTCTCCGAGAATTGTACCGGCCGCGATCACTTATCCCCTCATTCGTTTTCCGGGTGGCTGATCTTGAACACCATTTAATTAGGGTTTCAGCGTACCGTTGAACTAACGTTGTAAGTGGTACTTAACCGACGTTTCACAATTGTCTCTGTCATGCATTCGGCGATAATCAAGAGCCCACCTGTCTTTAAGATGATAATTACGATCAAATAAAATCCAAGAACTAATGATCGATGAGAATAATGCAATCTTTTCCTCATCGCATACTAATGACATATAAAACGATAAAGTTTCAAATAAAAAATTTTTCACTCGCCTCTTTAACAATGGAAAATATCTAATTATGGAATTAGCTAATCATCGTTGTATAATCGAAGCTAATAAAAAATGTTAATCATAACGCGCATATATATGTGCTATAAATGAGGAGTTTCAAAAATCTCGATATAAAAAATATTTTATTAGTGCAATATTGCATTTAGAGCACATTTTTCAAATTTGTTTTTTCTGGCTAACGTTGATTAGTGTTGAATGGCTATTCTGTCTAACTTTGATTAGTATTGAATGGCTATTCACTCGAATGTAGACCGCAATTTCGTGCAGATTCAAAAATATACAGTTTTATTTAAACAATTCCTTTAATGATTTTTCACGATAGAAAAAAATAATCATATTCGAAAGACATATCTTATATTCATAAAGCATGTCAACTTTGCCTAATTACTTATTTTCTTCTTTTTAAAATCTATTCAAAAATAAATAGATTATAATTTGATTCAATTAAAGATTATATTTAATATTAAAAAATTGTCATTTCCAAAGTTACATGAAAATTTTACCACAGTTAGCAAAAAGGACACATGTAACTTAAAACTTAATAAAATTTAAAATGTAAAAGAAAAAATTAGTTTCAAAGGGAAAAAATCACTCTTGTCTGCAACAAGCAAAAATCGAATAAATGAGAAAGAGAGCGAAAAAGTTCTGAAAAAGATTTGAATCTGTTAATTTAGCGTTGATGCTAACATGAGAATTACAAAGATCCCGCATCCAATGTATCCTTTCTCTTAAGAACAACATATATATCCCATCAAAATAATACAAGCATCATCTTGTCTCTCGCGTCTGTTTATAATAGGCAGACGCTTCATAATATATCTGTTTGTAATGCGCGCAGCAAAGCCATTCGAGCGCATTCAAATGCTGAAGGGGTTGCCCCGTGAATAGAACGTTGGAGAGCTCCTCGTCGACATCTGATTTTACTCTGCCCAGTTTCCTTCCAATCATCCGAATGGATTGGTCCGAAATTTTCCTCCGAGCGGCCGCGGCGCATTCATGCAGTCGCACAAATTTGCTCATGTACGAAATCGTTACCGCGCAATGATGTTCGCGCACATATTATAGGCCTTGCGCAAGGAGAGAGAGAAAGGGACGAATAATATTCTTTATTACTCGTATTCCACTAGTTCGAGTCGTGTCTTGCCGTAATCGTAAATTGGCCGATTGTAAATCGTGCCCCGAGACTGCTTGTAATTATAACCCATACAGCACAGATTATTGCAATTATATTGCAGCAACGTTGCAATGTTGCAAGTGCAATGCCCATTGCAGAGATATAGGTGCACAAAATTCCAGCACACTTGTTGACATTAATATTTCGGAAATATTGCATGTATATATTGCGTATTTTCGCTGTATATGCAACATTAGTTTATGGTTGCAATAACAATGCATTATTGCAAATTCATAACATTGCAATGTTGTTGTAATAGTTGCAATCTTCCAAAAAGCGGACATTTTAACATTGCTGCAATTCAACAGCAATGATGTAGCAACATTTTGCAGTGAATTTGCAATATTGCAATATTGCTAATGTTTTTGCAAATCGGTGCTGTATGGGAATACAGTAAATTGCCGAGGCACGTTGAGCTTCAAATAGAAGGAGGGTATAATAGGGACATTTTCAAAGCCGCTAAATGTACGGTAATGGAAACGAGGCTTTATTTTTATACGAGAATGAGTTTTATACGTGATTGTGTTCTTTCAAGCTTATGTGCCGTAACATTTTGCGAAAAGGAAAAGGTAAACACGTTTGCTTCTTTTTCATGTTTAACACAATACGTAAAACGGTTCTGCAAGTATATGCTCGATATTTAAATACCACGTAGAAAGTGTATTCTCTTTCTCAAAGTTCCCTCTAATGTAAGTTTAAAAACGAATTTTCTGCGTGTATATTTTGCAACATTACATCGTATTACTTTGGCTAGTCAAATTTTTCTGTTGTGTTGAAGTTAACTTGAGACAAAAGAGCAAGAAGAGGCGGATATATATTATTAATGATTCTAACTTTAATGCTGGTTTTCTGCATTTTAAAATATCGCATTTCAAAATAAAGTTTCATATGTTTCACATATACATTACGCAGAAAAAGTTGAAGTACTAGTTGCACGTTTACTTGCATTTGCAGCTTCGCAAATGTGATATTCGCTGCTCCTCGAAAATCTTTCGGAAAAGTAGCACTTTGCGACTAATATTTGCCGATATAAATGCAACGCGCATATTCCAGCGTAATCGATTTAGACATCCAAATTATTGGTCCAACGACGCTCCACACACAAACGAATTTGATTGATCTGCACTTTCGTTTTCTTTAATATAAGTTTGCTTAAATAGTACCAAAATTCCAAAGAATCATATATTAAATATCGAGATAACATATATTTATCTTTGAGTATAAAATAAATTATAAATTTTAAGATGTTATACATGTTGTTAAAATTAAATTATAATTTTATTTAATTTTAAATTATTTTTTAAACGTATTGTATTTTCTCGCGTATAATACGTCTGACAACAACATATTATTCGAAATTAATGAAGTATTACGAGAGAGAGAGATAAAATGTATTCTACATTATAATTAATTAGATGGGGGTTTATAAATGTGGTAGAGAATACAATCTAGAAGCATTTAGACAAGTTTCCCTTATCTTCTGTCATAAGAGTTGCTTTTTCCATTTACATTAAAACTCAGATAAATCTCACTTCTGTCTTTCTTCAACACCCATGTTAAAAAAACACAAAAGTGAGATTTATCTGAGTTTTGATGTAAATGAAAAGCAATTATTACGTCGTATAACGCGAGACTATAATTACTACATATGGTATGTATACATGACATAATTATTTTATATTAAATATATTATATAAAGAACGAGAGAATTTACGATAAACATTAAAACATGCAATTGGCAACAGATAAACGCGATTAAATTTCGTCGAGTTAATTGTAGTTAGTCAGTATTTCGCTAACCGCGGAGACAAACAGATTGCAACGGATAATTTCGCCGCGACAAGGGTGAGAGAGAGAGAGAGAGAGAGAGAGAGAGAGAGAGAGAGAGAGAGAGAGGGTGTCACGAGAGTTTCCGAAGCGAAGAAGAGTCCAGACTACGCGACAGTGTCAACTCGGTGTCGAGTTATCGTTCAAAGTTCGCCGGCGGCGTCGTAAGCGCCGGAATATAAAATTGGACAACGCGTTGCACAACGTGTTGCCGTACACATCGTGTCCCGGCGCGGCGTACCGGGACAAATACATCTTGATTCCTGTTCCTTGTGTTCTAACAGGACGCGAAATCAGAAGCGAATGGAAATACGCGGAGTCCTCCCCCAGAGGGATAGAAGTGGAACGTCTTTTGTCGAGGAAATGAAAAGTTTTTCCTATCGAGTATGCGTTTTGTAACGGGGCTTTCGTCGTTTTCAGAGAGACGGTTCTTTTAACACAACCGAGTCGATTGATGTGTCTATAACGATTCCTCCGACGATAAATGATAAACATCGAATAAAATCGCGATTGAAATTGTTGTTTTAACAGAGTATGCAATAATGATGAAAAGCTGCATATATATATATATATATATATATATATATATATACATATATGTATACGCAGATAATATTCCTTTCAAATCAAATTTTGCTCCGTCCACGTGTTATGTATCTTTTTCATTCTTCCATTCCATTTCATAATATTACATTATAAAATAATTGCGCGAGAGAAACGAGAGATATTTTATCTGCAATTATTGAAATTATATGGAAATTGTTGGTTTTCCGCAATAATTATCGCGCTCGGAGGTATCAAATTTTGGTTGTTGCGCACAGCCGCAAATATATTGTATATGAGGCGCGCGTTCGAAATGAATTAAATAACCAATTTTGAATACATATATATGTATATATACATCTCTTGTATATATAAATATATTCCTTTTCTCTGTTACAGCTGCGAAGGGATCGACTCGCTGGTGGCATTCGTGCACATAGACGGGAAAAAGGAAAAGATAGACTCGTTTTGTGGAGAAACATCGCCGCGGCCTATCATGAGCAACGGTCCGCGGCTCTCGTTGGAGTTTCAAGGGGTGACGTCGTCCCGCCATTCAAAAGGCTTTAAAGCGACGTACTCCTTCATGGAAAGTAAGTGTGTGACACATTTATATAGACATCGTCTTTAATAATAAGGCCGCATTCGTGGCACATATACAAATGCGATAGAAGCATAGAGGAAGGATAAAGGAGGAAAAAGTTCTCGTGTACTATTTCCATGCTGTAAAATTCAAATCGAATCCTCCCCGAGGCGCGGAGGACACAGATTTCTCTCTGTGCGCGAGCGAGCGGAGTTTAGATTTATACCTGGTATTGTCCTACCGTGAAAATCGATCAAGAATGTTCCGGTCCACAGATGGACGACGAGCATCATTGAGAATAACTTATCGACGTGAAACGTGTTCTCGCGGCGCGAGAATCGCGACCCCTCGGTGACGTACGGTCTTATATAGGGATGGAGAAAGGGAGAATATCCCGGGGCTTTCTCTCCTATGGGTACCTATGTCCCGTCAAAATTTCAATTTCCGCCGAGTATTCTATCGCGATAGCAATGCGTCTCCCCACGTTCCGCCGTTTATCACCAGGCAGGTGAGGAGCAACGCGGATTGTAACGCACACGGGCGGGAACAGCCATTGGTAGCGGAACAAATGGATCGCGAAGTGTATTCGTCTTGGATCCCGTAACGCGGAAAGTCGAGAGAGTGTATCTCTCTGTGCGAGCCAAAGTTTTGCGGATAAGAGAGAGAGAGAGAAAGAGAGAATCCCGACAGCCACGCAAACAATCTGTCTCAAATATCAGGCTAGCGTGGCAGCGGAGAGTGGGAAATAGACAACTTTGCCGTACCATCAGTTAAGGAATGAATATCGCTCGATTATGCCGGGGTATTTTATCGCCTTTCCTCTCCCTCTCTCTCTCTCTTACTGTCGCCCGACCATCGGTCGAAAGTTCGCGCGCGCTATCGCATAATTGAAACGCGGCAAAATGGATCCGACCTATTTCGAAACGGCGGAAAGAGATACGGGGCGACGAAGTTTCCGGCAAAGTCGCCTCTCTCTCTCTCTCTCTCTCTCAACGGTTCCGCGGTATTATGAATGTTAACGGGCAAGTTTGAGCTTAATTTTTACGAGCGGGAAACGTATCCCGCCACGGAAACTTTGCGGCTGAATTATCGTGCGCCGAGGGATATGCGGGTCTCTCTTCGACGAAGGGGTGGCCCACATAAGTAGGACTTGGAAGAGTCCTCGACGAGAGACGGGATCGCAAATCGAAGTAGGCATTCGCCAATCGAACTGGAACGGACACCAGGAAGAGATTCGCAGTCGACGCCCTTTCCTTCTCCCTACCTCCCTTCTGCAGAAAATCAGACGCGAGTCTCTCACTCCCGAACTGTCACAAGCACAACGACGTTCTTGGCGACGAATCGATATGACGCGTCTTAGAAAGGACTCGCCGATCTCTCTCGGGAATAACATTCTACGCGCTGACTAGGACATTTCCTTTGGGAGGAAACGGCGGACTGTCATTCCGGACTGACACGTGCGTGTCAACCGCGCGATACATTTGCTCCCCGTGCGGTATCTGCCTCTCTCTTTCGAAATTAGTAACTAATAATTATGACATCGTTCGAAAGAGAAGTCGCGCGACGCAACACACATATATACAAATCTCACTTCTCATATCGCAATGACGGTCGAGATAAAATCGCCACACAGCACAGCGACAAACACTTGCAAAATTTATGAACTCTAACTGTGCAACCCGCCCTTGTTGCAATTAGTTCCTTCTGAACTAAATTAGACTTTCTTCTCTTCCCCTGAATTTAAAAAATCTCGCGTTCATCTTTTTCCCTCTCTCGACGCAGAATTGTCGCAAGTTAGTTTCGTGTCGCGATAACACGAGAATCCATTTTGAAAGGCGACTTGGACCATCGATCTCCGTATCTGCCTCGTCGACGACGTGGACGACACTTCGCGTCAAACCGTCGACGTTTTCCCGCGAAGACTTATCGCTACGTCGATGCTCGCAGTCGTTTAGTTTCGCGGGTGAGGAAAAAGGACGTCGACCGGAAGTTTCGGAATTCGGTCGAACGGGCCAAATATCGTCGACGTAGACGAGTTAGAAGGGCGACGTATTCTTCGCGAAAGTGGCTGACAGAGGGAAAAACGTTGTCGACTTGCCGAGTGAGACGGTGACGGATTGACGAATTCATCGTAACGATGGAAGGATGCTGCTGCTTTTGTAAAACAACATCGTCGTAGTCGCGTCTCGACATTCGAACTATACTTTCGCTGTTTGTCTCGACGCGTTTGTACATACGTATGTACGAATCCCTACGTCTAGCATCAAACGGTTTGAAACTTACCGCTGTATTAGCGGTAACGCTTTAACGTAACCCGACGTATTCTGCTTCCGAACTTCGACGCTCAGTTGCGACGCAATATTTCCGACCAACTCTAGACAAAGTTGATACGGGCGCGTCGTACATTGCATTGTTGCCGAGCCATATACAGCGAGAATTACGGCGTTTCGCCGAACTTTGATTAACCACGTAACTCTTTATATAGAGCGGATTTAAATCCTTTGTTTCAATGAAACGCACTGGGATATCAGAAGATGAGAGATTGCATGGTTCTCACAATATGCCAGCGCTATAAAATCTTAAGGAGAAACTTTAGAAACGTCCCTTTATGCATTTATATTATTTATATTATACTATTAAATAAACGATATTGCATATATAAACTGTTCAATAAGAATTTAAAAAAAAATTGAGAGAGATTTGGATTTTTATGAGAGAAATTCAAACATTTTATGTAATATCAAAATAAATTTGTATTTTTTTTAATATATATAATTCTTGAAATAAAATAAAATTGTATCGTGTAAAAAATACAGCTGGTTACATACAATTTTCGCATATAAAGTTTAGTGCATTTATGTGCAAAAATTATCACAATTTTTAAAATTATCACTTTTTTAATTTTTCGCAACATTGTAACAAATTTTATTAATTAATTTACATCGTCAAAGCCTAAAAATTCCACTTTATACACTCGAGATTTCCGAAACACGTCGAAACGTCCTCCAAACTACCTTGTACGGGAAGCAAAAGGGCTAAAAAAGCGACAGGTTCACACGAGACGCGACCGTCCTTTAAATACCACCTTGGAACAGGGAGCGTTTTGCATTTCGAGAGAGTTATTCCGCGCGAATAGTAAAACGAGGTGCCGGAATCGTTATCGTTGATTACAATTGCAAAGTTGGGCGAGGCAAGGGCCAGAGGAAGGAAGGAAGGAAACGACGAAAGGGAAGCCTCGGCGAAGCCGAAGCGTCGCCGCTGTACCGAACTGCGAGACGCCGGTGAATCTTTTGTAATGTAGATCACCGGACGATTTTAACGACAGTTATACCCCACGCAGAAGTGTGATAAGCAGCCCTTGCGTGCATACATATACATATAGGTACACCCTAGCTCGGGACGATCCTAGCTTCCGCCCATCCCGCCCGACTTCGGTATGCAGCGCGTCGTGTTCTGGAGTAACATAAATTGCCAGCTCGTATATACTTGAACATTCTTCTACCGGGTATTATAAAAGTTCTTGCGAAACTTTATCAATTTTACGGATACGCCACGTATACTAGAAAAAAAAGAGAAGGAGAAATGAGCGCGAGCTTAGAGTCCCTTTCTATCGTTTTCTATCTTCCTCTTTTTTTTTTTTTTTTTTTTTTAATCTCTTGCATTTTTCACTCGCTTTGATCACTTATATTATATACCTATGTGTTTGCATGCACTTATATGATGTTGGATATAATCGTATACGAATATCCAAATTTATACACGATGAGTGTAATAATTTTAAACATTGCCGATAATTATAAATGTCCAAGATATAAATGGGATGACGTTGATTTATGGATTACTGTATTTATGAAGATTGAAGATGAAGGTGATGAATAAATTAGATTAAGATAAATTAATTTATTTCTTGAACTGTATATATTTGAAACACGAATGTAGAAAAATTTTTTAAATCACACGTTAATTAAAAATATTTTTTATCTAAAAAAATGTCAAATTAGCATAAAGTTACATTCGTTAAGTCTCGTTTTGCGTAGAGAGCGGACGACCGCGAATGTGTGACTTTGACCTTCTTTTGAACAGAACACGAAAAGAATTTTTAGGTGAAAATAAGATTAAAAGTACTATATATCAAAATGACATATCTCGGGAACCAAGAGCGATTCCTATGTGACTCAAAGTGGGAGATGATTTTTGTCCTCTACAATAAATCTTGAAATTATAATTATGTAATACTGTCTCTAGTAGAAAATGATCTAAACTGTACAAATGAGAGAAAAAGAGATCTTTCCTAATTCATATTAAAAAATACTGATAGAAAGATCTCGCCCAGTCGCTGTCATGATGAGATTTTAAAAGAAGAATAGCAAGAAATCTCTCGCAACAAAAGATATATATGTGATATATACATTAAATATTCTTATACGTTAAAACGTAAAGTATGAAGAGTATAGCTACTTTCAATACACTCAGTATATATCCAGTATATAGCCACGAGATTACGTATCCGCTTTCATCGGAGGAAGAGAAGCAACTCACTCTCTCCCCGGCAAGACGGAGAAAATTTCTCGTCTCGGCAACCTTGAAAAATTGATGCCGTAGGTCGCCTCGGCTAGGCTTTATCGGAGTAACGGGCAACTAAACGTACCATTTTATTGGATCCGCCGTTCTCCGGATACCGCCGCGAATACCGGAACCGAGAGAGACTCTCTCTCTCTTTCTCTCTCTCACCCTTTCTCTCCCTCTTTCAACACCCGTGCGTGAATCTCAATTGTGGAATCGCCACGGCAAAACAAAATAGGTTTCCCGTCTACCCCGTGTAACTCTCTCACCGGTTAACGGAGATTCGTTCGACCGACACGCAATCCCGAGAGTACCCTCGATACCAAAGTTTGTAGTACAAACGCTGTCCAACAACAAACACGGCGAGATTGTTTGCTCCTTCGATGTGCAACATGCGTAGTTATAATATCTGTAACGTACGTATATAAGATAGTTTAGGAACATCTT